CCAACGTGTGCTAGCTAAATCCACATAAAACCTGAGAGGGCTTGGAAAGGAATTCTAGACACTAAAAAACAAAGTTTAGGCTCGTCTATGTTTTTTTTGGATGGGCTCTGCTTGCTGGTGGCGTGCTGCAGCTCCTTTAAGAGAAGTCTTCCTGATTCAGAGGTTGCCAGGGCTAACGCTGGCTCTTTCAGGAAGCTGAGCATTTAAATGAGGTTTAGGAGCAGAGTGCTACAATTTGCTTAATGGCAACATAGACCTCCTCTGTGCCTGAAAATGGGACTGTGGGCATGGCTTGCACTAAACAGACCTCTGCCCCGCCATGCTGGACTGGGTGGAACCAAAAGGCAAAGCAGCCTTGGTCCTAAATTAGCAGGCAGGGCCATGTTTGCCCTAGCAATGCTACCACTTAGGTTTTTAAGAAGCAGTCCTGGTCAAAAAAAGGATTTCAGACACACAATAGGACAGATTCAGACATAAAAGATCTCTAAACAAGACATAGTGTGTTTTAAAAACATGTATGTAGGCTTGGGAAAGAGAAGAAAAAGACTAAAGAGATAGTAAGTGTAGTAAATGAGCAGAGACAGTCATAGATTAAAGAAGTAAAGATAATAAAATAAATATTAAATTTGTAGAAAAGTAAATAAATAAAGAAAAATAAGCCATGTAAATATGGAATATACACAGAGTATCTGGATTATGTATATTACTGTTTTCTTTGAATTTTTTTTATTATGAAGGAGTTAAGTACAGAGAGACATTTCATTGTACAGAATGCTAAGCTAAACCAACATATATATCTTAAAGGTGTCTTAACTTCAAAATATTGGTCTAAGGATTTGCTGCTTTGCAAAAGAGGTTCTTTTGTTTCCACAAAGGATGAAAACCTGTGGAATCCTTCCAGGCTAATGCGGTTTGATGGGCCAAGACCCCCTAAAGGTCACCATGAACACCCCCCAAAAATTACTTTGCCCAACAAAAAGCAGGAAGCAGTTTGGATAGAACTACACTCATATTCCCAAATATTGTCTATAAATATTTGTTTAAGGGGGTATGCTATAGATATTTGCACTGGTATAGATCTTGGTTTACTGATACAAATTTAAGGTCAATTTTGTTACATGTATATTTCTGCTTTGATTAAGGTATTGTGTCTATGCAGCTCATTTAAAAATGTAATGTATAATTAAGAAATATAGGTTAATAGAAAGTCATCTATTGTAGTTAAGCTTGTAGTCATATTAGTTAGCCTTTCTAGATGTACAAAGATATATTTCAGATGGATAGGGATTCTTCAAATCTTTCAAAGACCTTTAGAATATGGCATTTAAGATATTTAAGAACTTGGGACTTTTCATGACAATGAGACACACCTGCTCCTGGCAACACTAACTAATTCAAGAGGAAGATGGGCATTGAAGTGGCTCCTTATGGTGTTGGTTAGCCATTTGAACAAGAAAATGCTCTTGCCTGGACTGCTTGATGGTAAACTGTGTGAACTAGACATGCAGGACCATAGAGAAATGACAGCTGAACTTGCATAAAGGTGAATGATTCTTCAGGGTTCCTGCTTCACTAAAGAGTCTGCCAGACATTCTGCAGGACACAGAGGAAATTGACTGACAAACTGTCAATATAGGTGGAACTGTCTTTGAAATTCCCTGTACTGAAATTTCATTTCTTTGAAATGAGCCTGTATGTTGTAGGGAAAGAGGGTCCTTTGTTTCATCCTGGCTGACCAGTTAGCTATGGTTCCTGTGTGGTTATTTCGGGAGTCTGGGCTGCTGGGAAATGAACAAGCAGCCTCCTCCGATAACAACATAGCCTGACTTAAGCTGGAGACTGAGAGTACTGGAACATGAATGGGCTGATGAGGGGAAAAAGAAGAGTCAACTGATGGACGAAGGTCACTGGTTAAATAAAGAAACTGCCTTGGCCCTGATAGGACAGAAAATTAGGTAGGTGGAGTAAACAGAACAGAATGCTGGGAGGAAGAGAAAGTGAGCTCAGACTCAATAGCTCTGTTCTCTGAGGCAGACGCGATGAAGCAAGCCGCCAGGTCAGACATGCTGAATCTTTCCTGGTAAGACTGGTGCTACACAGATTACTAAAAATGGGTTAGTCAAAATATGAGAATTAGCCCGTAAGAGGCTAGAGCTAGTGGGCCAAGCAGTGTTTATATGAATACAATTTGTGTGTTGTTATTTCAGGGCATAAGCTAGCCAGGAGCCGGGCTGTGGGAAGAGGCCCACAGCTCTTACTACAGTCAACAGGTTGGAATTTCAAAGAGTGTTGAAAGAATTTAATTAAGGGAGCAGGAAGGACAGGAGTGGGAGACCTGAAATGTATTTGAGAGTTTAGAAGAGTGTTTAAAGGGTTCTGATCTTAGTGGTGGACTATTTCTAAAGATGACATAATGCCATCTAGGCATGCAGGAATGGTGTGTTTGTTCTGCCAACTACAGAATTAAAAAGCAGGGAAGAAGAGTCCCGAGCAATCTTGAGGAGTTCCAGCACAGCCATCAATGATGCCTGGGAAACTAGGGTCCCTGTTTGGTGCTCTTAGTCTCACTGATAGAAGCATTTAAGAAGAGAATGATCTGAAATGGAAGCTTGAGGACAAGTTATTAGAGTCTGAAAGGAAAATCCCAGGGCAGGCAAACTCTAAGTCTCTCAGGGTAGGAAGAGAACAGAGAACAAAAGCCATGCTGCTACTTAAGATAAGTGGGGTCAGCGACCTGGGGCAGGCAGCGTAGAGGAGAGCTTCAGTGAAAGCATACTTCAGCTCTGGCCAGCACTGGAAAGAAAAAGACATAGTTTCACCTTTACAAGTTGTTTCAGGAAGGTGATCTGACCTGGTCACAGCACAGGGACTACACTAGCAGGACATCATCTTACGGTGAAACCAGTGAGGGGTGGTCACCTAGTCATGTCCTAACCCTGTCCTATTGGATTAACCCTTAGGGGAGGAGATAAGGACGTGTCTATACCTAGAGGTAGAGTCCACTCTTTACAGTGACCCTGTCTCTCATCTTAAGTGTGGTGGCCTCCCTTTCGCAGTGAGATGGATATGAAGTACAGTGGCCTCCCTTTCACAGTGAGATGGATATGAAGTACAGTGGCCTCCCTTTCGCAGTGAGATGGATGTGAAGTACGGTGGCCTCCCTTCACAGTGAGATGGATGTGAAGTACGGTGGCCTCCCTTTTGCAGTGAGAGTGGCCTCCCTTTCACAGTGAGATGGAGGTGAAGTACAGTGACCTCCCTTTCACAGTGAGATGGCACTCCCACTTTTTACAGCCACCTGGAAGGTATGAAGTTATGTGATTTCTTGGACTAGGTAAGAAAAGGCTATGCTGTTTCTTGCACAAAGCCAGCCATCATGTAGATAATCTATTCCAATTTCACCTTGTTAGAGACTGTTGGGAGCTGCGGACCCTCAGACCCTGAGCTTTCTATGACCTTTTGACTCCCGGAGTAAACAACTTGTTTTTCTGTGCTTGTAGCTGCTCTGAGCACGAGACCCTCATGAGTTCTTGAAAGCAAGTGGTTTCTGGTGGACTTGCAGTAGAAAATCCCCAGAGCTAGGGTACGGCCATTAGTCAAGGAGAGCACTATATAAGCTGTCTGGGAACATAAAACTGGCATTCTTGTTTCAAGAGTGACCTATGTCTCTGTATGTTCTTTAATCCCCAGGCCCTTGCCTGATAGCGGTTCCAGGTGGTGCAGGCACCACAAGAGACATTCTGACCAACATGCTAGTTCCAGATTAATCCATCCATCTTCCTCCCCTGATGAAATGACACTTATGTCTTGTGTGAAACTGTTTAGGTCAGACCAATCAGCTTGGCCCCTATATACATACTCCATCATTTTTTGAGACAAGGTCTCACTGTATAGCTGTGGCAAGATTCCAGTTGCCCTGCCCCCCATTCCTTACCATATATAAACTGTAACCCGTCCCTAATAAACGGAGGCTTTGACAAATCTGCTTGGCCTTCTTCTTCTGTCTTAGCTCATTCCCTTCCAGGTAGCGCCCCTCCGAGACCCTGGAATAACTGATTGCAGGGTGGGTTACAAACCCCTAGACTGAGTAACCCACCCCAACGCAATCGACATCTCAACATGTTCCAAACTGAGTTCTGGAACTCATTCTTCTCAAATCTGTTCCTCCCTAACTCAGCTAAGGGAGGGTTCAGTTGCAAAATGTAAGATACCTCTCACTCCTTTTCTCATAACCCATATTCACTGTGTAGGAAACCCTGTTGGCTCTGCCTGCAAAATATGCCCAATGTTCCTCTCTGCCTGTCCCTTCTACTCTTCCAGTTCTCTTACCTGGATGATCGCTAGTCTCCTGACATGTCTCACTCTGGCAGGCCTGGTTCATTTTTAGACCACTCAGACAATCTACTCAAGGGGTCCAGCCAAAGGAACAGGCAGATTGTACTTCCTGCTCTTTTAAGAACCCTCCAGCAAGCCTCCCTCTTGATCAACCAGGCAAATGCGGAAGGAAGGATATATGCTCCCCCTTGCTTCTCTGCAACCACCTCCCCTCTTCTTCCACTCGCCATGATGTCTCCTCCCTGGTTCTGAACTGGATAGGCCCAGGCCTGTCTCAGGGGCTTTAACACCAGCCACCACCTCTGTGGGAATATGCTCTCCCAGAGACTCCTGCCTTCCTTTTCCCCACAGGTCCCTTTGAGTGACTGTTCAATCTGTACTTGGAACCCTGTAGTCCATCCTTGCTTTGTTTTTCTCCTGAGTATGAACAACTAACACACAACACATTGTTCTTAGTTACTGTCCACTTTCCACACCGAGGCCAGCCGTTTTGTGTTACTTGTTCCCTGTTGGCTAGAATTACCCCATCTGTCCAGATAGCAGTCAAAACACTGACTGAATTAGACAATCTCAGGGTTGCTTGCATTACTCTAATCCAACAACAACAACAAAAATGGGTAGTGGGGTGAGGCCAGAAATAACTAACAGAGAAGAGATGCCATGAGTTTGATTTGTTACAACTTTATTCAATCACTTATCCACAGTGTTCTAACTGCATTCTTGACAGCTGTCTGGGCTCAAAACAGAGCTTGTCTGACTGAACCAAGCACAGTCCATTTACTTGTTGAGTTGTTCCTCTCTCGATTTTGAGTCTCTGCTTTCTTGGAGTCCTAAGAGAACTGCATCGGCCTCCAGTATAGTTGTATCTGTGGTTGCACCCAGGAACCTAGATGTTAGCTCAAGATCCAGAAGTCGCAGCCGGACCCTGGTGCCCCTCTGGTACTTCCTAAAAAATAAGAAAAATATCCCATTAATTCCGCAGGCCACACATGAACAGGCTGAAAATGAAATACAAATTCTAATTTTCATTTTGATTGACTCAAGGCTCGAAAGTTCACACTGGTATGTTAGAAATAGTTGGTTTGTTTTTTGTTTTGTTTTGTTTTTGGGAGACATGGTTTCTCTGTAGCTTTGGAGCCTGTCCTGGAACTAGCTCTTGTAGACCAGGCTGGCCTCAAACTCACAGAGATCTGCCTGCCTCTGCCTCCCAAGTGCTGGGATTAAAGGCATGCACCACCACTGCCCGGCTAAAAAATAGTTTTATTTGATGTTCAGGTGTATCAGAATTTTCAACTTAAAGCTGCCTTTAAAGATTTTACTTTTCTTATTTATTTAGTGTATATATTAATATGTAGTATAAGGACATGTTCATGTGGGTATATTGATAACCCTGGCTGCTTCCATCTTAGACTTGAAAGCCATCTTATACAAACTATAAACTAGATTCATTCCTGTTTATGATTAAATCCATTTCTCGATGACTGGGCTATGCCCCACCTTAACATGTTATACCCTCAACTACAAGTGGTTCTATACTGCCTGATCCAGAAAACAGCAACCACGCTGTGTTTTAATAGGTCATAATGACCACCTGTTGTTGCGCCCTCCTTGCTATGATCACCTTGTCTTACTTCTGTAACCCCACCTGTTTGCCTGCTAAATCCCCCCTTTGGAAACCTCTTCTCCTGAGCTATAAAAACCCTTATCTCACCCACGGCCAGTGCCTATCTCTTACACCCGGCCTTCAGAGGGAGACAGCCTGTGTACATGAATTAAAAAGAAAGCTCATTTCAATTAATTATTTGCTTTAATTAATTTGGGCATAATTTGGGTCAGTGGTATTTCTCTTGAAACCTGTGGGATTAATGATATATATGAATGTGTACAGATATACACATATACGTATCCTACAGAGGTCAGAGGTCAATGTCAGGTGCCTTTCCTCGGTTATTCTCCACCTTACTTATTGAGACAGGGTCCCTTGCTGGCAGGCAAATGAGTCTCAGGGCTCGGTTTGCCGCCAGTCCCACTGCAGTCAGTGCTGGCACACTCAGCCATCTTCCCAGCTCTCTATGTACTCATTCACTGCTTTTCTGAGACAGGGAATAACGTAGTCAAGCCTGGTCCTGATGCTCTTGCCGTCACGTCCAAGTGCTGAGATTCCAGGTGTGTATCAGCACACGCCACTATTTAAATAGTTTATGCTATAATAAAGATGTACTCAATTCTGAAATTCAAACAAGCCACTTCTTAAAACTATCATTTATTTTAAAGCCAAAGTATTAAGGAGGAAAAACTGAGATACCTATTTTTCCTCCTAAAATTAAATGTCTCAAATAAAGTAAACATTTACAGAAGCAACATGGATGAAATTCCTCGTGCAAAGTTCTTGACATCTGGGGCAGACTAGCAGCACCAAAGCATAAGAACATTGGAAGACCTGAAAGTCGTCATGTGCCATGGCATAAGTCAGACAAGAAGGCATTGCATCATCTCGTTTACACACAAACTAGAAAAACCTGAACTCACAGAAACAGCAAGGATGAGACTTTCACTCAAAAAATAAACAACTAGCAAGAATAAAACATCACATTGGAAAAAAAAGACCAAAAACAACCATTTAATTTTTGTCAACTAAAAACATTAGTGAACTAAAAAAAATGTCAAACCAGGTATCATATCTTTTTCTTTTTCTATTGGTAGTAGACTAGGTTCCAAAAAACATTTTAAAAACTATTTATGTTTATTATTTTTGATTTGTGCGTGTGTGTATGTCTATGTGTGGGTATGCTGACATGTGTGCTGGTGCTTCAGAGAGCAGAGGCGCCAGATCCCCTGGACTTACAGGTAGCTGTGAGCTGCCCAGTGTGGATGCTGGGAGTCAGACGCAGGTCCTCTGCAAGAGCAATACACACTCTTAAAAGCTGAGCCATCTCTCCAGCTCTTGAAACTGTAACTCTTTAAAGGATGAGATACCTCAACACCATGAGTCTTTATTTACTTATTTATGGAGTGCTGGGAATCAAACCCAGAGCCTCAGGCATGCTAGCCAAGTGGTCAATACTACCATCGCCATACCACGTTTATTATTCAATTTTCAAATTAAATTTATTTTCCATAAACAGAGAATTTAAAAGTGCGTTTTCAGAAAATTCACTGGGAAATAACTTTGGTAAACCATATGATTACTCTTCCCAGTGTCTAAAGGTTTGTGGATGGCCACCAAGTAAGCAATGTACCTACTCTCCCCGTGGTTGGATTACATTCTGAAGGGTTATGAATGGCTTACCAAGTAAACACTTAGGCTGTTCAGCTTTTCTGAAGTTAATTTTTTCTGTTAACAGAAGTCAATGGATTTTGATAAAACTTAAAAACAATGAAGTCAGTCATATTTTCTAGTGCTCCCCCCATGTGAGACATATGATTACAGTCTGTTTTTGTTAAAACAAATTAATTAGGTAACAAGACTTTAACTCTTTAGCAAACAGCAGTTACAACAGAAGCTACATAAGAGTCAGGCACTGGGATTTAAAGTTAGCTCAGAGCAGGGGACTGGAGGAGCTGCAGCCTGTGTTCTGGACTGGGATTGAAGGTTAGCTCAAAGCAGTGGACTAGAGAAGCTACAGACTGTGTTCTGGACTGGGATCGAAGGTTAGCTCAGCGTGGTGGACTGGAGGAGCTGCAGCCTGTGTTCTGGAGCCTCCCTCTGTTCTCACTGCACTCTTGTTTAAGGCTCTCATTGGCCGCGGGAACCTGCAAGAGCTGGACCTTAAAATGAGGCGGATTAAAGCCTCACGCAATAGCCAACTTTATTCAGAGCATCAGGAAATTTATACTGAGAGTTAAGAAGACTCGCAAGAGTAAGGTGTTCAACCACAAGGACAAGCCACAGGTGGCCAAAACAGGCTTTTCCATAAAGGCATATGAGTAACAACAGCTGAAGCAAACTCACTCCTATCTGCTGCACCTGGGAGGAGCATGAAACCACACTCCAAGAACAACTCTGGGATTGAAGGAACTGAGGTTCCAAGACTGGTTTCTTGGGGTTTTCTCAAAAGCACTCAGAATCCCCCTGGATGACTCCACTCTTGGACTCGGTTCCGACACAATCAGTGAATTGTTCAATCAGCTTCTGTTCATACAGACCCCTCTTTGCCTCTTTCCTATAACATCCAACCAGTTACTTGGTTTTGTTTGTTTGTTTGTTTTTAACATATATTTCCTTGGCTTAGCACCTCAGGTGTATTCCTGTCTAGACATGAGGGCTGCCATGATCTTCCTGGAGCTCAGGTCTCAGGGCTCACTCTACATCTTAGGGATCATTAGCACTGCTTGGCCCTTTTTCCTAACCTATATTGACCTAATGTGGCTCCTTCACATTTCGCTCTCAGAACAGAGTCCACTCACTGCTAGAATCCTCATGAACATGGGTGCAGGTCTGAGCTCTGCTGAGAAAGCGCTTGGATGCTTTCTCTGACCCACAGTTTCCGTGCCTATGTCACAGAGGTCGCAGTATTGCGAAGGTTTGCTGAAGACGGAAACTGGATGGCATGATTTAATACAATAGAGTATAATATGTATCGGCACAGCTGCGTATGGCGACACATGGCTTTAATCCCAGCATTCCGGAGGTAGAGAAAGGTGCATCTCTATGAGTTTGAGGCCAGTCTAGTCTACATAACAAGTTCCAGGTCAGTCAAGTCTACATAGTGAGAACCTGCCTCAAGAATCCAAACCAAGCCAGGTGTAGTAAAGTCCACATCTTTAATCCTGGCTCTCAGGAGGCAGAGGCAAGTGTATCTCTATTAGTTCAGGCCAGCAGATATACACAGAGAGTTCCCGGTAAGTCAAACGTACATAGTGAGACTGTCTCAAACAAACACAAACAAGAAGGAAGGAAGGAAGGAAGGAAGGAAGGAAGGAAGGAAGGAAGGAAGGAAGGAAGGAAGGAAGGAAGGAAGGAAGGAAGGAAGGAAGGAAGGAAGGAAAAAGAAAGAAAGAAAGAAAGAAAGAAAGAAAGAAAGAAAGAAAGAAAAAACCAAACTAAGCAACCAAACAAAAATCAAAACCCAGCACAGCAAATGTGTTAGTGCCCCCCTTTCTCAGGTTGGATGGCTTCTATGGAAAGGCCCGGGTGAGGAGACATGCTATCTGACCAGTGTTACATTATCTCTGTATTCTTCCAGAAGAATCAGTGCAGCAAGTATTCAACTCTTGGAGCCTGAAAATGTTGTTTGGTTGGTAGAGTGCTCACCTAGCATGCATAAAGCCCGAGTTCTGGTTCTCAGTACTGATAACTCAGCATATTTCCAGCACCTGGGAGGTGGAGGGTGGGGATCAGTGGTTCAGTGCAAACCTTAGCAAGTTCATTGCCTGTCTCAAAGAAAGTACTTTAACCATGGTCAGCAAATTCACATACCCCTTGATAACAAAATCCAACAGGTCAGTGATGATCTAGAATCTCAGTTTTCTAGAATTTTGCAGTGTGTGGACTGGTACACTTACTTGATCTCTCTAGACTTGGCTTCCCATACTACCTAACACATTAATGGATTGATGATAATGATGATGATGATGGTGATGATGATGGTGTGTGTATTTTCCTTTTCCATTCATCTATCTTTACACACTTTTAAGAGTGTTACTTCCTAGTGAGCCATAAACTAAGCATGATGGTAGGTAGTAGGAAGTATGACTTTTGTTTTTAACAGGAAAATCTGAGTGTGTGACAGTTATCTGAGAAGACAGCTCTGCCCACACCAACACCAAGAAGGCAGCTGAACAAGAGGAGGCCTGCATCCATATAAGTGATTCTATGCCACTGAAGTTGACAATCCCCAGAAGAAGATTCACACAGAAGATCCAAGAGGACTGAAAATTTATAGAAGGCAAGACTTTCCTCCTGTTTTAGATGCAGCAAGCTTTAAAACTATGAACAATTTTGCT